AATACAAAATGAATGTGATGCAATGTATCACTAAAAAATCAGCTGAAAAATCAGTATGTGCATATTAATATTCAATGGGCATATTAATATTTTTACTAAAATTATACTTTTGCTTACTTAAATTTGATTATACTTACTGGAAATTTAATTCTATGCGCTTAAACAAACAATGCATCAACAATAAATCCGATGCCTTATTGCTTTTTAACATCATTGCAAATACGTGGCAGCGACATTTTGAAATAGTATGGTACTGTTGCATTATGAAACAGGATGCATTGTTCGAATGCAAAGCAGCCTTCGTGCCAATTTAGGAACAAAATTGGAATATATAACGAAAAAAATATATAATAATTTAAAGGAAATATCATAAAGATTAAATTTATAAACAAATGAAATATAAAATAAAAATATCCGTTTTGTTCTCCAACATTCACCCGCTCAAAGAACAACTGTTCTTGACATAAGTTGGGCAGATATATGAGGTGTTTTATTTGCTTCCGAGCTTTCCAGCCAATAGTATGAATAATTCCTCATATGTTATGATTCGATTATCCATGATACTTTTCAAATGGTGTTTTGTGGATTTTACAACAGCATCCCCGAGACCTCCAATGTTTGGCGTAGCAGTTGGTATGAAGTGCCACGTTGTGCTCTAACTGTGCCGCAGTCCGAGCATAAATCGGAACACATGCACGTTGTGAAGTGAATCATCGAAATGCGGCAATAAAAGCGTCAGTAGATATTAAAAACATGTAGATGTTAAATAAAAAACCAAAGTTCAATTTTTGAAATCTAGAATGTTGTTGTAGCATAAAAATAGTTGTGTATTCTTAATTAGTCTGGTTTTGACTCTAGAGTTTCTATGTATAAAAGGGTTTCAAACTTGCCAATCTAGGTTCAATTGATCCTCCATTCTAAATTTATTCAAAATGTCACTTTCGAAAGTATAATTTAAAATGTCCCAGTAGAGGAATGCAAAGTTCTTAGGAATATTTTTCGATTGCAATTTCTCACCAAAGTAGGACAGATTGTTATTTCCCAGAGAAGAGACAGACAATTTGACAATTTTCAATTGATTAATTTCCACAATTTCTTTAATTTATCTTTTCGTAGCATAATTTTTTTCTTTTTTTTTTTTTTTGTCTTTTTCAGCTTCGTCTAAAGTTTAATTTTTTCCAGGTTTAAGTTATTTTTAAAATTTTCTTAATTTCCAGCACGGGACAAACTAGGAGTTTGTGCAGTTCGATTTTCAATATTTTTTCATCAAATTTATGAGACAATAGAATTTCAAGGTTTGTTGAATAATAATCATAATTTTCAGTTTAATACAACGTTTTTCAGAAAAATGTAATTTATTCATTGTTCTTCTATTTGTATATATATTTTTGTTTTAGGGATAGTTCACTTTTTCAAATAATTTTTATTATTGGCATAAGTCCCTATTATTTTATTTGCACTTTTTTAAGGGGAAAGTTAACTTTTCCCGGGTTTTGGAACTATACAAATGTATAAGAATATATGGCTCCCCTAGCCAGCGCATTGGGGCAACTTTCACAATAAATTACACTGTGCGACAAATTGGAATTTTTTTGATAATTACCGGGAAATTCAAGAATTTTGATCATTTTCGAATCATGATTTCTTGAAATCCTTGCATTATAGGTATATACAGCCTTATTCTGGATGTCAATTCCACGTGAATTTACTCGCTCTTCCCCTTCGTCTTATTCTGAACAACATTTTTGTGTGAATTTTTTCGCATTCTCGCTTTCGCCTTATTCTGAATGAAGTTCGAAAGCGAAAAAATCCGCTTTGGGGAAAAATTAGGTATTCTGGATTACAGGGAGTAGAAGAATGAGATGCAATTTTGTGCGAAATTTTTCGCTAATAAATTCAAAGTGAGTTGACTACAAAAACATAAGTAATAAATATTTTTATGAAAAATATTAACACAATACTTATTCTATGACGATTTAGAATATTATAAATGATAGTAAGCAAATATTTATCTGGAAAACAGCAAATAAAATGCCTTTGGAAATCCTATTGATAATGATGCATGCTGAACCAAATATTGCCAAGGAATGTATAAAGGTAATAATGAATATTTAAGTCGAGTTTGATGCATTTTGGAGGCGAAAACCAGAAATTTTGGGTGAGGATCTGTCTCTCAAGAAAAAAAAAATGATAGAAAAACCAAATTTGCCTAATGAGCCGCTTAACAGTGAAAAACTTAAATAAAGATTATGAAACAACACAAAAAAATCTACAAAAAATATTTTTTTTCAAAATTATCGTTAGCATTATTTGAAGGAAGAAATAAAGGATTAGGAGCATAACAGGCCACTTTAAGAATCTGGAGAGATAAAATATTGAAATTAAATAAAAAGGCACAAAATTATGTGCTGTGTTTTTGCCATCATAAAAAAATGTTCTTTTATTTGTAATCTATTGTAGTTGTTGTACCAAATTGCATCAAAATAATGAACAGCTGTTTCACATGTCATATTGTTGCCATATTTTAAAACTTTAATTAATTTTCTTTTAATTACAAAGCATTTATAAAGCGGATTCTTGATATTTCACATTTGTATTGTTATAAAGTTTAAACAACAATAACATGTAACAATTTTTAATAAAATAATCAATAAATAAAATATTGAAATATATTACACAATTAACAATGGGGCAACACACATTACAACTTAAATTACAATATGGCAACACACATTACAACTTAAATTATAATATGGCAACACGAATCTTTTTTTCAACCACCATTTTCGAAAACTCGAATCCGCATCTCGCATTTTTTGCGTCTCCCTATTCATTCAGAATAAGGCGAGAATGTGAAAGCGAAAATTTTTGTACATGCGAGATATCTCCCAGCGAATATCCAGAATAAGGCTGTATTTTTATGAAAAATATTTACACAATACTTATTCTATGACGATTTAGAATATTATAAATGATAGTAAGCAAATTTTTAACTGGAAAACAACCAATAAAATGCCATTGGAAATCCTTTTGATAACGATGCATGCTGAGCCAAGTATTGAAAAGAAATGTATGAAGGTAATAAGGAATATTTAAGTCGAGTTTGATTTTTGGAGGCAAAATACAGACATTTTGGGTGAGGATCTGTCTCTCAAGAAAAAAATTTTAAAAATTATGGAAAACCCAAATTTGCCTGATGAGTGAAAAACTTAAATAAAAATTATGAAAGAATAAATTTTTTTTAAAGCAAATCATAACATAACAGGTCACATTAAGAATTTGGGGAAATAAAATATCGGAATTAAATAAAAAGGCACACAATTATGTAGTGAAATAATAAACTGTGAATTAATTAATTAAATCGCAGATTTCTTCCTATTATTCGTTGTGTTTTTGCCATCATAAAAAAATGTTCTTTTATTTGTAATCTATTGTAGTTGTTGCAACAAATTGCATCAAAACAATGAACAGCTGTTGTCCATATTGTAGGTTGCCATATTTTCAAACTTTAATTTATTTTCTTTTAATTCCAAAGCATTTATACAGCGGATACTTGATATTTCAAATTTGTATTGCTATATAGTTTAAATAACAATAAAAAGTAACAATTTTTAATAACAAAAATCAATAAATATATTGAAAAATGTTACACAATTAAATTACAATGGGGCAACACACATTGCAACTTAAATTACAATATGGCCACACACATTGCAACTTAATTTACGATATGGCAACACGAATCTTTTTTTCAACCACCATTTTCGAAAACTCGAATCCGCATCTCGCATTTTTGCATCTCCCTATTCATTCAGAATAAGGCGAGAATGTGAAAGCGAAAATTTTTTACATGCGAGATATCTCCCTAGCAAATATCCAGAATAAGGCTGATAGTGTCTTCGGCAATATTACTGATAAAATATCGAGGAATATTTTGGTCTGCAACTTTAACCCTCAACCGACTCATTAAAGGGGTCTTTTCGGTCCCCTTTTCCAGGAGTGATTGGAAACTTATTCAAAACGGTTTTAAAGCTGCTCAGAATATTCTACAGAAATGTTCGCCATAAAGTTTTACTATAAGTCTCAGAATAGACAAAAACTCAAAAATCAGCCTAAATGTCGAAAATCTTAAAAAAACAAAAACTCATTTTAGGGTTAATATCGTACTTATTACTAGTTTTTACCCATTTTTACCCACAAGATGTCGTTTTAGAAGGATAGTATAAGGAACAAAAATATTCTCCATCAATTTTTAGCATAAGTCACTGAACAAGAGAAATCTGTAATATAATGTATATATCGAATATATAGTCATACATTTTGAACCAAAAATTAAAAATGTTATTTTATTTTTTTCAAAGACATTTCCCAGTATTTTTTTTCGAAAAAGTGCATGAAAGTAACATGAAACTTAATTCTGGGTACATAATGTCAAAGAATAAAATATTCTACATCAAAATCCACTTCAAGTGTCAGAATAAACTATATATTTATATTCAATAGTTTTTAAGAAATATACATAATAAAATTATATATAATAACAAAAATTTTTTTGCAGACTTCAGTTAATTTTATACTTAAAAAAATTAAATTAAAAATTCTTACAATTTAAATAAAAAGGAAGATTGTTATTGTAGATTCACTAGAACAAAGAAACATGTCTAGCGACTTTATTTTCGTTTTAATCACATACTATAATATACAAAATAAATAAGTACAGTGGAGAAAATAAACTATTATAGCAATTTTAGAAGAATGTGTATAGAAATTCTTTGAGTTTGTTTCTGTAAAATTTAATATGAAAAAGGCTATTAAATAATTAGAAAATATTAAATATAAAAAAATACAATTTGTTCGTTCTTTAATTAGAAGGAAATAAAGACTGCAAATTTCATATAATTTAACAAATACATACCATATTTCACAATATTCCTTGTAAAGTCATGTATAATAACGTTTTAATTTTTCTAATTTTATTATGTAATTGATTAATCTAAACGTTAATGTTGATGGCCAAATGTTATTACCAACGGCAAAAGTGTGCCACATACAATTATAATAAGTTCACTGTACTTTAAACCACCAATTGATGATGTTACATTTTGTTGCGTCATTGGGTTTGATATAGATAATTCCAGAGGTCGGTAATCGTGATGAGCTTGTAATGAGTGATTGCCGTTACCACTTTGTGTCAATTCTGGTAACACATGGACCGTAGCAACATAAAGAAATGTTCCTGCTGAAAAAAGCATAGCAATGCCTGTCGCATTTACAGAGTTTAATGTTTCTTTCTGTTCTTGTCCAATACCAAAGTATGTTAAAAGTGTTAAAAGAGGGGCAGAGAGGCAAAAAATCCCCAAGTGTTTGCGGATTTGGTGACGCTCAATCTTTTCATGTAACAAAAAACTAACAAGTCCAAACGCTGCAGGGGCTTTATGTAACATTATAGCAAGGAATACAATTATTTCGACGTCCTGATGACTGGTTGTAGCCGCAGCTCCTAACGCCACTCCATCCACTAAAAAATAATTAAATTTGATTAGTTTATATAACTTAGTTGTTTTTTTGAGAAAGTTAGTGGTTTTCATTAAAAAAATGTTTATATAAATGGAATACAATGAGAAAATTGAATAAAATACATTTGATTTCTTATTATATGAATTACATTTTATGCACTTGTCTTATTTAAAAGATGTGTTAGTTATAAATAAAACATGTACACGAAATGTAACCTAAAAAATAAATACTTAAGTATAAAATGTTTATCATATCAACTGATCGTACACGAGCCATCAGTGATCAAACTTTACATATTTGAATACTCTACAAATCGTGTGTGGCCATACTAAAAAATACATCAGTTAAAACGATATGACATATACAGTATTTTTCGGTTAATTACACATCAAAATTTGCACAAATTTTTATTCAATTAACCGAGGAACCAATTATCCGAACCTGCTTAATTGAATAGTTTGTTCAATTACAGTAATCACGTATAATTGGAACTACTAATGATTAGACCTCGGATTTTGCATATTTGCATATTTTTTAATAATGAAGATATTGAAATTCTGATTGGACACAAATTCGTTTCAAAGGATTTAGAATTATTTGAAGGGTTCATATTTTTTTAATTTTTTGCATATTTGCATATTTTGCATATGCACGAGATATGCAAAAAATATGCAAAAATATGCAAAAAATATGCAAAATATATGCATAAAATATGCAAAATATAGGCAAAATATGCAAAATATATGCTAAAATATGCAAAAAATATGCACGGTATGCTAGGTCGATATGCGATAAATATGCAAAATATATGCAAGAATATGCAAAAAATATGCACGGTATGCTAGGTCGATATGCAATAAATATGCAAACATATGCAAAATATATGCAAACATATGCAAAATATACAAAAAAATATGCTCGGTATGCTAGGTCGATATGCGAGAAATATGCAAAAAATATGAAAAATATAGGCAAAATATGTGCAAATATGAGCAACATATTTCACATATGCAATCATTTTAATCAAAAAAAAAAAAAAAGATTTTTCATGGTAGTTTTCGAATTTGTGTGCTTTCTTTATTTTTAACCTATAGAAATCTAATTGTGTATGTATGCGTTTCATGGTTCAACTGTTAGATTTTTGGGGCATTATGAAAAATTTGTTAAATATATGTATAATACATGCAAACATATATAACCGTTATATAGCGATATACTAAAAAGTGGACCGATATATCCCATTTCCAATACCAAACATCCTAGGAGTAATAATATATGTGCAAAATTTCAAAGTTCTATCTTTAATATTGCGACCTAGCATACCGTGCATATTTTTTGCATATTTTTGCATATTTTGCATATGTTTGCATATGTTGCATATATTTTGCATATTTTTGCATATTTTGCATATTTTTGCATATTTTGCATATATTTTGCATAGTTTTGCATATATTTTGCATATTTTGCATATTTTTGCATATTTTGCATATATTTGCATATTTTGCATATTTTTTGCATATTTTTGCATATGTTGCATATATTTTGCATATTTTTGCATATTTTGCATATATTTTGCATATTTTTGCATATTTTTGCATATTTTGCATATGTTTGCATATTTTCCATATATTTTGCATAGTTTTGCATATATTTTGCATATTTTTGCATATGTTTGCATATTTTGTATATTTTTTGCATATATTTATTACATATCGACCTAGCATACCGTGCATATTTTGCATATTTTTTGCATATTTTTGCATATATTTTGCATATTTGCATATTTTGCATATTTTTGCAAATTTTGCATATTTTGCATATGTTTGCACATTTTGCATATATTTTGCATATGTTTGCATATTTTGCATATTTTTGCATATTTTGCATATGTTTGCATATTTTGCATATGTTTGCATATTTTGCATATATTTTGCATATTTTTGCATATATTTTGCATATTTTGCATATTTTTTGCATATATTTTGCATATTTTTTGCATATATTTTGCATATTTTTTGCATATTTTTGACATGACCCCAAATATCGATCAATTAAAGCATGAAACGCCTAAATACAAAATTTGAGTCCAATCGGATAAAGCATAAAAAATATGCAAAAATCCGAGGTCTACTAATGATTTAAAAAAATCCAATGCCAAATACAAATTACGCTTTCTCGCAGTTTTTCCTTAGCAATAAACATATGTTTTGAATAAAATTATGTCAAATATGTATGTAAAAAATTACAGATTATTTGTCAATTATTATTATGCAATTAACCGGTGAAACGTAAAAGGAAATTTATTTTTGATGACATAAATTTTGAACCAATTAAGCGAGAAAATCAATTAACAGGGTTTAATTATACGAGAAAATTTACATGTATTTTCCTACGAAATATTTTTTGCCCCATCATGTGGTTCAATTAAGCGTGGAAACCAATTAACCGTAGGGTCAATTATGCGCAAAATAACGGAATTTACTTATTCGTTTAGGGGCAGCACTATTTCTTTATGTATAAATTAATCAGATTTTTTGTTTGCTTGGTAAAAGCAAGGCGTATTTAATAAAGTTTTTATTGTTTGTGAAGCAAATTGTTTGGTATAACATTGATCAGTTTCTGATACGAAGATGTGGTGGAATTTGAAAAATAAAATTAGAGTAAATTCGGTTAAAAAAATGCCAAAACTTTCCAAAATACCAAATAATGGTGATTAACCGAAAGCTTGTGCCAATATTGATTATTTTTGGTGGACAAAATTCTACATAATAGTGGAGAAGGTAAGAACGAGTATTCTTGCCAAAAAATAACTTAGTTTAATGTTTGTTTCTAATTTCAGCAATGGAGATATGACGACAGCCAGGCTGGATAGGGATAGCCCCCTGATAGTCTCTGGCGTTTATCTCCCCTATGAGACTCCTGACCGACCCAGTATGAATGTACGCCGCTTAATGGATGTGCAGAAATGGTGGTCTCATCATCGGGTGTGACGCCAATGCACATCACTTCCGCTGGTAACACCAATACGAGAGGTGAGTGCATTATTGATTTTATATTTAGCTATAATCTTAGAATTTGTAATAGTGGCAATACACCAACGATCGTTAACAGAGTGAGATGTGATGTCATTGACATAACCCTCACTAATGTGGACGCCTTTGGGGTTATGAAATGATCCTTTTCGGATCACAAAACCTTGCATCCTTGAGGAAGACTGCATACACTATAGCTAGTAAGACAAACCTCAGTACAGATTGGAACGCAGTGTCACGACCGCGGCCAAAAATTGTTAAAACCAAGTACCACGGAGGACACATTTTTTGACGAGGATTGATAGAAAATACTCCAATTAGAATAAATATGAAATTTTATATCGATATGTCGAGTAGTTTTGTGTCTACAAAGATTCAAATCTGTAATTATTTATAAACTGATTTTTTACCATATTTTCGAAAAATGGGTGTGTTTTTCTGATGCTCAAATACTTGAATATTCAAATTAACGGTTATTATAAAAGTGTTTATTTTGGTTGCTGTGGATGTAAAAACTAGGATTCTTATAATCTAAATTTAGAGGTCGCACATGAATTACCTTTGTGGAAAGTTCATACAGAAAAATATTAGTTATGGCATGGGATATGCAAAGTGCAGCATAATACCTTTTGAGCGACTTTCACAAGATGCTAACAAGTCATGCCAACAAATAATTAGTAGCAGCCCGAACTTTTGTTAAAGCCGAGTTAAATAAGGATTTTATTTAGTATTTTATATTACAATCCGACCTTGTAATATCCTTAAACAGCCATAAAGTAAAGGCACGAGATTATAATGTGGATGATACTAAATCGTACATTTGGGAAGACAATATTATATATATGGGCAATATTGCCAATTTTTTAATATTCCATTTTCAAAAAATCAGGTTTTTTGTTTTTGTGACACATCTATGATTTTTGGTACACATATAGAGAAAAATGTTCTGACTCCGAAACCGTTCGTGATCAAATTTTTGGTTGATGCGCGCAAAAGTTATCGAGGTTTTACTTTTGGGTATAAGAAAAAAATCTTAAAATTACGCCGTTTAATATATTGACCAAAAATGTTCATATATACATTCCTTCGTAAAATAAGAATATCAATATATAATAATCATCGCGAAAAAGTTGCACATCTTCGCGAAATATGAGATAAATAATAAAAATATAGGAGATTACTTTAATATTTTCATTATATTAATGACACGTATCATCCTAAAAATTTATTTAAAAATATCTACAAAATCTAAACACCATGATGAATCAAATGATATCAAAATCACACAAGTCTGTGTAGCGGTTTGTAAATTACATCGACAATAAAACAAGATATTTAGGAAAAATATTTGTTTCTGGTTCGAAAAAAAATGTCATCATATTTATTTTTTTATTTTTTACTTTTATACAAGAAATTTCAGAAAAAAATGTTGGCGTTATTCTGCTATTTTACCTGAAGTTTATCTTCCAATCCATATATATTTTGCGAAATTTCATTTGACGGCTAAGATGTGCCACACGTTGCATAGAAGTACCCAAAAAATCGTAAAACGCGAATAATTTCCGAAAACTCCATATGCCATTAACGCGCATCCGATTTCGGTGTGCACCCTAAAAAAATACATCGATCTATACCATTTCAATGTGATCCATTAAGAACCATGGATGTGCCAGCACAATCTATTTTTGAGATAAATTGCGTACATCTCTCTTTCGGCTGAAGTTTTTAAAGTTCTCTTCTCGAAAAAGATCAAAATCCGTATGAGGTCATTTATTGAAGCGGAAATGATACACAGAAAACGCAAATAAATCCGCGATATTTTCAAAAACATTTTTTGCCAAATTTCGTGTTTTTGGAAGGCCAGTTCCCGCCGTTCTAGTAGATGGATTTTCACGAAGAAGATTTTACATCATCCGAAACGTAAAAAACTTTATTGATCGCGGGTACCCATATCATTCAGTTGATAGATCTAAAAATTTGGCCCGAAAAATAGTTGTTTTAGAAATTTGATCGCACAAAATTCGCACCTTCGGATGAGT